TTAAACATTTTAGGACACATTTGCTGAGGATCTGATTATGGATTTAGCTTGGGTTTATATTTGGGTCCCTCACTGCTGATGTTCAGAATTCTGTGTTCCGTTTTTATGTAGAGTTCTAGTGTTGAAGTTGCTAGCCTATCTGTTACTCGCCTGCTATGGGAAAATCTTTGGGAACTATTTTATTTGCAATCACTAAATAAACCTTTCGGCATTCATATAAGTGGACTGAAGTTTGTTTTGTGTGGGTTCGTCTAATGAGCGGGATAATGTATAGGGGCTGCTTCCTTCAAGGCAGAAGGGCTCCGCCTTGTCGGTACTTACTGTATTTAAAATGACCTGCGTACTCTAAATTATCCATTTTCTTCCCCCTAATCCATTTCTGGGTTGGGGGTGGGCAGAGATGCCACCCAGTACAAAGAGCACCAGTCTCTCACTGATCCTCCAGCAGGTGGTGAGCCAGAAGGTCGTGGGTTCGAGCCCACCACAAGACATTCACCCATCGACTCCCACTGATGTCTACTGTCCTTGTGTCCTTGGGCAAGACACTTAACCTCTGGGAACACCTGATGCCACAGTGGGGTGGCTGCAGCTGTAAAGTGCCAAACTGTTGTTGTGTCCTTAGGCAAGACACTTCACCCCCATTGCCTAGAATGAGTCTGGTGTGTGTGTGAATGGTTGGTGGTGGTCGGAGGGGCCGATGGCACAGGCAGTACTGGTTGCCTCGCTTCTGTCAGTGTGCCCCAGGGCAGCCGTGGCTACATTAGTAGTTCATCACCACTGTGTATGGAGTGAATCAATAATGTGAAGCGTCTTTGATTGTCCAAAAAAGCATGATATAAAACCAATGCATTATTATTAATAAATAATTAACCATTTGAGGTCCATGTTTATTGGATCTGGATCTGATTTTTGTTTTTGCAGCATTTTGGGTTTCCTTCCCATTTCAGATATTTTTCTTTAGTCCCATTTTCTTCAGCCCTACTCTACTCTACTCTACTCTTCTCCAATTGGGAGCATTTTCCTTGGTCCTGTTTAGCTGGTATCAGGTCCTTCTCTTGGACCTCCTTGGTCCTGGTTCACTTCAGATCGAGCTGGTACTAAACTGACTGTGATTGGAGTGCTGCTGGAAGCCACGGTAACCTAGGAATTTCCCTGGGTAGTGGTTTTGTTGTGGGTAGGTTGTAGGGGTGGGAATTGTCAAAACATTTGATGATTAAATAGTATTGCGGTATTTGGACCAAAATTCAATATTATTGCAATTCTTAATATATTGTGATACAGAAAGTTTTGTGATTAAATTCTGGTTCTGTCAGTGTGGTTCAGGGCAGAGCGTGGTTAAAGTAGTATTTTATTGCCACTGTGTAAGAATGTGGAGCGTCTTTGAGTGTCCTGAAAATCGTTATATCGATATATAAATCGATATAACCAATGCATTAGATGTAAATTACCAGAGTAAACTCAAAGAAAACACAAAAGTAAAACGGATAATTATTTAATTAAATATCGCAATACTTTGCTAGGACACGGTACCAGATACTAAAGCGTAATGGAAACATAACCACGTAGAGTAGAGTAGAGTAGAGTAGAGTAGAGGTGGTGGAAACAGGGCTTTTGAATCACATTGTTTAGTTTCCTGTTGTCGAATCTCATTATAATTGTTGGCTTTTGATCTTCACTGGTTAGCTTTGATACCTTTGCTGTTCAGGAATCGAATGACCTGTCGCTCTGCTGAGTCCAGGGCGGTCTCCGTGGGATGTTCTTCCGATGCCACATCTCTTGCTGCATTCTTGGTTTAATGTCGAGGCTTGAAGTGATGAGGTCATTCATCCTGGTGTATTTTTTACATATTTTGTTGTTCTCATAATTCTGTATTTTTAGTTCCTAGACTTTTATCACATCCATTATCATGTTTTGTTGACTTGACCTGGTTTCCAATTCAAGCGTCATGTGACCTAGTGACTTTTTCTACCCCTCCAGTTTGTCTTCCATCCCAGTGTTTGAGACAGAGACAGAGTTTAGCACCAGCGCAGCAGCCAGAGCTGAGTTAGCAGGCCTCCTTTTTGGGACAACTTTTCATATTCATTTATTATTAGGGATGTAAGAGCTGCACTGCTCTTTCTTTTGTAAAGTACTTCTTGCAAAAATTGAAATATATTGTTTTTAATTTACTGACAATTCATGAAACTGTTTCTTTTGTTCAATTCACAGTGGCCAAATCACATATCATGTTTGTCATCAGCAGAGAATATACATCTAATTAATATTGATATTTTGGCTCATTAGTGAATATTGTGAATAATGTGGGTCCCAGTATTGACCATTGTGGTGACCCAGAATTTATGAAAACAAGAAGTTGTGTGTGTATTGAAGTATGTTTGACAGGTTCAAATAACCAGTGGTGGACCCTCAGGGCCAGCAAGGCCTTCTTCGCTGGTCTAAATCAAGAAAATATCTTATATATATTTTCCACAAATATGTGTTCAATTATTCCCCGTAGTCTATACTCTTCATTTCATAGTTAGTTGCGCAGCTTCCAGCCCCAGGTCGAGATTAGGAGGGCAGGGATTAATGTGTTGCCAGGGTCCAGAATGTGTCTATTGGCCTCCAGAAGCAACAGTGCTGCCCCATGGAATTTAAAGTGAATGAGAAGAAACCTATGGCATTAGGGTTAGGGTAGCACCTACAGAATCAGAGAGTGCACATCTTTTGATTGGAAACGCAACATAGAGAGACATTTCAGTGCGGACATGTCAATATGTTAAACAGAAAAAAGTTTTTGTTCAACCCACAAGGCAAAAATAACAATTTGGTCACAGATATGGCTAGAACACCATTTTCAAGAAAAACGATATACAAGAACCGCTAGACACAGCAGGGTCGGACCCAAGCCTCGGTGATTCAAGATGGCGTCCTGTTCAAATCAATAGCGTGTGCTCAGTAGCGCATTGAGCATACACTGGGACCGAGAGAACTCGCACATATTTGGGCATTGTCTGGTCCTCCCGGTTCTGTGCCATGTACAAGCTAAAAATTATGCTTTGCGTCAAATACGCGTGTGTGGCTCTCATGCACCTGCACAGAGGGGCTCGGCCGCACTTTGACCAATCAGAGCTGCGGTAGAGCGGAGCCTGAGCGGGAAGAAAACGTGCAGAGTTTGTGGCAGTAAATTGTGGATTTAAAAAAAAAAATAGATTTAACAAACTAAAAAGTCCAGGATGACAAGGGACACTAAAATCCCTAAAAAAAATGATCTTTATGAAAACTGCAGGTTCAAGCTGTTTTAGTTTATATTGAGTTTTATGGGACTTTTTTGTGGGTGGCCCACGTGAATTTAGTCTGCAGTATCACAGGCGCCCCCTGTGCCCACTGGTGTGACAGCTACCCTATCCAGATATTATAATAGATCTATGGTCGGACCCCTCTCTTCTCTCTTCAAGCTACACTAGCAAGCTTGACTCAGTAGGGGAAAGGATTTATCTGCTACCGCGAATGGTCCCCTGGCAGCAGGCTGTTTCTGTGACGCTGCTTTGGATGTAATGGATTGAGGCATTGTTTTCAATTTAATTTGATTTGACAGTGTGCTCTGTTTTGTGGACAAATGTGCTAAAGCTCACACAGTTAGAGAGTTACTCAATGGAGTAAAATAATTGTTGTACTTGACTATATGGTTGGTCTGACTGCAAAAGAGCAATGGCATAATTTTTCAAGAGATGGATTCAGTTGGGTAGATCATTACTGCAGGTGCAGGTCTAATGCCGCGTTCAGACCGGATCATGCGTTGCGTCAGCTTTCAATGCAAAGTCAATGGTGACGTGCGTTCAAGCGGCAAAATGCATGTGTGTCTCAATGCACACACGGACTGCGCTGCAAAGTCGAAGGGGAGGAGCAGGAGCTGAAAATTGACGCACGCAGGAGATAAACATTGCTCAGCCTTTCCTCGGGACACTCGTGCAGCAACCAATCAGAGAGCCGCAAAGTGGTCACGGGGACATTAGCGGTCTGAGCGAGCAGACTGAAAATACTGTAAACACCCAAAACAGGAGCTACAGCACAACTAAAACCAGGGTTGACATAGTGCTTGTGAACATATGCGTTTTCATGCTCCCGTGACTTGATGCAACTGCTTCGAGCATGTTCGCCGATGCGGAAATACCGTTTAATAATAAAATAATCTTATTGCGCACCTCCGTGAACACATACTAGTGTTGCATTATTGGAGAAGATCTGTACACAAGAAGCCACCAGCTCTAACTCTGTTAGCATCAAGGTATAGAATTACATTTGGCCAAAAACTGGCTTTTTATTTACCAATCCATTTCTCATTATGAAAAGCCATCGCACACAACAATCAATAAAAACATTCACAAAAAACAGTAGTCCCTGTGATCAAAATGGCTCCCGTGCCTTCAATATTTTAATCAGTGTCATTGTTCTACTCACGGCCCCATGCGCAGGCACCACAGTCCACCAAAACCTGTCCCGGAGCCCAGCAGCGACCAAGGGGTAATAATCCACAGAGTCTCGTTAGATCCCAACAGTTTCGGTATTCCAAGAACTGACTCTAAAGCGATTATAATCCAAGGAAAATGGGTCCTCCAGATAAAGGAGCTGGCCCTGCTCCAACTCGGCATCTGACGTCAGACCAAGCGCGCCCCCGGCCGACACTTTCAAATAGAGTCTTGCAAATGACACCATCAATAGGCAATCATTTTAATAGCAAATGACACCAAATGTAACAACCTGATACACAAAAGAGGTTGTAAAATAAAGAATTTCACCCCTCCTGAATGAACATTTAGTAAGGACCTATGTGGGCGTTACACTGCTTTCCCGTGTTGTTCAGGGTCAACATGTGTCTGCAGTGTATAAAGGCCGAGTGAATATTTTACATGCTTTGTTTGACCCACCACTTCTGCTTGAGACCCAGTTTGGCTTCTCAGCTTTTGTCTTACTACTTGAGACTGCTGTTCTATGACACTGTCCTTCTCGTGTGTCTGCAGGGACCTACCAGGGCCAGTGGACGGGTGGCATGCGTCATGGCTACGGTGTGCGCCAGAGCGTCCCGTATGGAATGGCGTCGATGATCCGCTCGCCGCTGCGCACCTCTCTGGCTTCACTCCGCAGCGAGCAGAGTAATGGCACGGTGCTGCGCGAGACGCTCTCCGACAGCCCGGCCGGGACACGGGGTGGCTTCGTGCTCAACTTCCACTCCGAGAGCGACGCCGGCGAGAAGAAGAAAGGCTTGTTCCGCCGTGGCTCCATCTTCGGGAGCCTCCAGCGCTTACGCAAATCCGAATCGCGCTCTTCCATCTCCAGCAAACGCAGCTCCGCAAACTCCGACACCACCATGAGCCGCATCAGCTCCAGCGACGCCAACTCCACCATCAGCTTCGGCGATGACGACTACCTGCCCCTGGAGGACAACGTGGACGCCACCACCACAGAGTCTTACATGGGCGAGTGGAAGAACGACAAACGCAGCGGCTTTGGGGTCTCTGAGCGCTCCAACGGCATGAAGTACGAGGGCGAGTGGCTCAACAACAAGCGCCACGGCTACGGCTGCACCATCTTCCCAGACGGGAGCAAAGAGGAGGGCAAGTACAAGAACAATGCACTGGCTCGGGGAATCCGTAAGCAGCTCATCCCGCTCAAGAACGCCAAGACCAAACAGAAAGTGGATCGGGCCATAGAGGGCGCCATCAGGGCCGCCGCCATCGCCAGAACCAAAGTAGAGATCGCTGTGTCAAGGTAATAGTGCTTCGTATTACTGGCTTTACTGTGATGTCACATATTGGGGTTTGTCATCTTCGCCTCCCTTGTTTTTAGCCTGACCAGCCAGGACCACTCGATTTAACAATACGCACAGGACAAAAAACAACATTTGTTTTGTACTGTGAGTAGTGTTAATCTACTCCTATAATCTGGATTGAATTGAAGATCCTTTTTCCAATCCCAAAAGCCAGACAAAAGTGCACAGGTGAAGTTTGGCACACATGCTAACGTTTACAGACAGAACACTTTTAATGGTTGGTTGAATAACTAAAATATTCTGCAGAATGACTAAATCTGACCCGAGTTCCCGAGTCGTTTTCCACATACGTGCAAGTCGTTCATGTGCATCTTTTAACTCGTAAAACATTTTCACAAGTTTCTATTGTGAGCGTGGTTTCTGGCAGAGGCAGTGGTCGACTTTGTCAAGTTTGCTTTTTTCTCCCAACGCAGAAGGGTACAACGGGGGGCTTTGTTATAAAGCGGATTGCCATCGGGTCACGTGACTGAAAGTAGTCTTTGAGATCATAAACATAACATCAGCTCAGCCAATATCGGCATGATGTACCTTGTTGCAAAGTGCAGAGCCTCTGGTTTTCAGCTGTTGACTTTATTGGTTTTTTATTTTCTTACAAAAATCCAATAATGGAATTAATAAAGCTTGTAAAATAGTAATTTGTCATACAGCCAACTTCAGCTCCGTCAAAGCTCTGAACAGCCAGAATTCAGCCAAAAGAGATTCACAATCAGGGTGTTTGGCCGCTGGATCAACCTGGTTTATAAAAGTGGCCCTCTTACTAAAAAGTTTGATCACTTCTGCACAAGCTCTACCTTCTGCTCGCAGTGGTTAATTATCTTTTAGCCAAAAAAATTGACTGGTGTTTTTTAGTTTTTACTTTGAATTTTTTTTAAATTTATATAATAATAATGCCTGTAATCTTCCACTTTATGGAATACCCCTATGTAAAATGCATCATTATAATGCATGGATTCATTTTCGTTTCCCCCCCGTGTTGTTAGTATTTGATCCATGCTTTTAATCTGATGGCACACAAATTTGGGGAGAGGAGGCTTATGTTTTGTTTAGAAAATTCCTGAACAAAACAAAGTGATGGCGAGACCCGAGGATCGCGGAGAACTCAGCCTGACGCACATGTTTTGTTGCCCGGAGCTTTGAGAGTATAAATACTCGCTGGTGTCACAGGTTGTTCTGCTTAGCCTCAGGAGTGCAGCCGTTTCCTCATGTGTCCATAAGCCTCAGACAGCTGCACATGGAGCAGGTGCACACAGCTGCTGCCACTTCAACAATGTTATCATTGTATCATTGTAATTATGGTTGCAATTTCAGATCTTAGTTATTCTCTAAATGTTACTGTTATTTATTCTAATTTGTTATCTTTATCTTAGTAGTTAAGTCTGAGTGGTTCTTTTATTTATACTATTCTTACGTATGTATGTGTGCGTAAATTCCCTGTGAGGGGAATAAAGGTTTGATACTGCAGTCATTATTTCATGAGTTAATCATGAATTTGTAATCAGACCATTCAATTAATTTCATTATTTTCTTATAGACTTAGTTCGATGGTACATAGGTGTAGTTTGATGGTACATATGTGTAGTTTGAAAGCTGTCAAACTACACATATGTACCTGCAGCGTGCACAGGGCGGTGGAAGGATTAGTTCGAGTTTCCCCTCAATCCCCCCGTCACGTCCTCCATGCCGGAGGCAGAGGCTGAGGATGTTGGGGCGAATACTTCCATCTCCCGGGCTGAGGTCACCAAGGTGTTTGGCAGCCGGAAGTGGATGAGATCCGTCCTGACTATCTAAAGTCTCTGATGATGTAGGACTGTCTTAGCTGACACGTCTCTGCAACATCGCGTGGCGCTCGGGGGCAGTACCAAAAGAGTGGCAGACCGGGGTGGTGGTCCCTCTCTACAAGAAGTGGGACCGGAGGGTGTGTTCCAATTACCGTGGGATCACACTCCTCAGCCCCCCCAGTAAGGTCTACTCTACAGACTACGGCCGATCGTCAAATCTCGGATTCAGGAGGGGCAGTGTGGTTTTCGTCCCGGCCGCGGAACACTGGACCAGCTCTATACTCTCCATCGGATACTCGAGGGTTCATGGGAGTTCGCCCAACCTGTCCTCATGTGCTTTGAGGATTTGGAGAAGGTGTTCGACCGTGTTCCCCGGGGTGTCCTTTGGTGGGTTCTCCGGGAGTACGGGGTCGGGGTCCTCTGCTGAGGGCCGTCCGGTCCCTGTATGACCAGAGCCAGAGCTGTTCCCGGTGCATGTTGGCCTCCGCCAAGGCTGCCCTTTGTCACCAGTTCTGTTCACTGTATTCATGGCCAGAATTTCTAGGCGCAGCCAGGAGCTGGAGAGGGTCCAGTTCAGGGACCACAGGATTTCATCTCTGCTGTTTGCAGACGATGTTGTCCTTTAAGCTCCAACGAACCAGGACCTGCAGCATGCACTGGGACGGTTTGCAGCCGAGTGTGAAGCGGCTGGGATGAGAATCAGCACCTCTAAATCCGAGGCCATGGTGCTGGACCGGAAAAAGGTGCCTTGCCCTCTCCAGGTGGGTGGAGAGGTCCTTCCTCAAGTGGAGGAGTTCAAGTATCTCTAGGTCTTGTTCACGAGTGAGGGGAGGATGGAGCGTGAGATTGACAGGCGGATCGGTGCAGCGTGCGCAGTGATGCGGTCGCTGTATCGGACCGTTGTGGTGAAGAGGGAGCTGAGCCGAAAAGCAAAGCTCTCGATTTACCGGTCAATCTTAGTTCCCTCCCTCACCTATGGTCTTTGGGTAATGACCGAAAGAACGAGATCGCGGATACAAGCGGTCGAAATGAGCTTCCTCCACAGAGTGGCTGGGCGCTCCCTTAGAGATAAGGTGAGGAGATCAGTCAGACAGGAGGAGCTCGGAGTAGAGGTGGCTCGGGCATCTGTTCCGGATCCCTCTTGGACGCCTCCCTGGGCAGGTGTTCCGGGCAAAGTGGGAAGGCCCCGGGGAAAACCCAGGACACGCTGGAGGGAGTATGTCTTTCAGCTGGCCTGGGAATGCCTTGGGCCCCCCCCCGGACGAGCTGGAGGAAGTGTGTGTGGATAGTGAAGTCTGGGCGTCTCTGCTCAGACTGCTGTCCCCGCGATTAGAAAGTGGAATGGAATATGTGTAGTTTGATGGTATATACAGTATGTGTCCACTGCAAAAAAATCATAAAATACAAGGTTGTAATTGCGTTAAAGGAGCTATACCCGTTTCTGCAAGGTTTTTTTCAGTTTGAATGTTTAGCACCTCCCCCCAACTCGCTCACAGGCTTCTCAATTGGAGAAAATCTCCTCCTCTCCTTTACGCTCTCCTCCCACAAAGGCATCTAGTTTTATTTGCGATCTGATACATATGCAAACATTAGCATTAGCGCAACTTCTTATAAGCTGTACGGCAATCACTGATGAAATGATACAAAAGCAACACACTGCTAACAAAATATATAACTGAAAGATTACCGCTAGCTTTGCGTTCAAATGTAGTCTGAGGCATTCCCGCTCCCGCAGGTCTCTCCAGATGATACGATGTAAGCCAGCTATATTCACCCAGCCTTGATTTCTCTTTTGTTAAATTTGTTGCTTTAGTTTCCCCTTTTCTTCCTCACTGTTGTGTCGTTTGGGCTGTTTTGCTGTGTCTGCAGTTACACCCAGAGGAGGTATAGACACTTTCTGCCTCCGTGCTTCTGTGTTTAGCAGCGCTGCAGACGCTGGATGAAGCGTGGCCTGTTCGTGCTGCTCCTCCTTCTGTGAGTGGAGGAGAGCGGGCGCGACGCTAAGTTTCTACTCAGCACTTTTAACGGCCTGAATTCATACACAGCTGAATCGATGAGCTCAAATTTTCAATTAAATTTACGTACTTTAATACAACTTGTACATAGTAATGCGCATTTTTATGAATTCATTAGAAAATTAATCGGGTATAGCTTCTTTAATAAGTGTTTTTTATTTTAATTTGAAAAACTAAATTTTCAAAGTCTTTCAAGAAATGATTTTTAATATATCATTCTGAGGCAGGCATTTATTTTTAAAACAAGATCTTTTAAGGCTATCAAAATGTGCTAAAATTAAGACACAATTTGCCAAACTTGAGCACTGTGTAAGGACAATGATGTTTGAGGAAAGCTTGGATCGTATATTAGGAGTGTGACGTCATAGTGTGGGTTGATTTGAACATAAACTAGCCAGAGGTAATTTCCTTATAAGGGCATTTCTTCTGCGGTGCTAGCTTCATGCCGCAACAAGGGCAGTCGTGTTGCTAAGACGGTTGAAGCCAAGGAAGGCATCAGGTCGGTTTTTATTGTTGTTAACCTTTTATGAGACAGTTCTGGTAAGTAAGGAGACTTGCCAGATCTTTTGGAAGAGTCCCTTAAATGTTTCTCATAGCAGGAATTGGTGATAAACGGCCATATCTGCATGTGAAAGTCATTACCTGTCAGACTTCTGAAGCTAAGCAGGGCAGGACCTGGGTAGTGCTGTGATGGGAGACCTCCTACAGTGGGGCAGATGACACAGATGTCCTTGTGTCCTTATGCAAGACACTTCATATCACAGGTGCAAAAGGAAAATAACCCAAAGCGCAGAACTGCAAAAATAATGGATTTAATCATATTAAATACAAATGAAAGTCCAGACTAAACACAAAAAGTAACCAGAGAGTGACTGAAAACAGGAACCAAAACAGACAAGGAAGGACCATGACGGAATAAGGAGTGAAGTCGTTAGTGTTGTATACACTAACGAAAAACAACACACAGGTGAGACACATGAGGGCGGGGCAGGAAATCAGGAACAAGAAGTACAACTACAGAACACATAGCGGTAAACAAAATACAAAGTAAACCTAAACCATGATACTTCTCCCACATTTGAATGAGTCTGGTGTATGTGTGTGAATGGTTGGTGGTGGTCAGAGGAGTTGATGGCACACACTGGTTGCCACGCTTCCGTCAGTGTGCCCCAGGGCAGCTGTAGCTGCAGCTGTAGTTTATCACCATTGTGTATGGAGTGAATGAATAATGCCATGTCTTTGAGAGTCCAAAAAGCGTTGTATAAAACTGATGTAATCTTATTATCATTAAAGCTCTTGTCTAAACTGCTGTGTCGCGTGTGTGTGTGTTTGTGTTGCAGGACAGCTCATGCTCGTGCCAAAGCTGACGCCGCTGACCAGGCTGCCCAGTCAGCCTATCAGGACTCAGACATTGCCCGAGCTGTGGCCCGAGAGCTGGCTCCAAGCTTCCACCAGCCTGGTAACCTACATCCCCCACAAACACACAAACATGTACACACATATGACCCACAACTTTGTGGATCTGTTCTCGTAAGACCAAAAAGGTAAATACACTTTCTAAAACTAAAAGTTATTAATTACACTTACTCCAAACATTGGCTACATTTCTCACAATAGAATTCACAGCAAGAAAGTCCGGGGTTTGTTTCCACCTCCAGGCCTGTCTGTGTGGAGTTTGCGTGTTATCACCTAATTTTCCCTACTTTTAGGAAAGAACCGCTCTCTCCACTTTTTGAACAAAACTCTCTGGTCTCTATTGACGAGCATGTATCACCAAAATGATTGACAATTGGGAGGACCAATAGTCTTGATGATCCACCCAGAAGTAGAAAATCCTCCTTTATACCATTAAATGTTGAACAAGGTCATGTAGAATAAGCACTAATTATTCAATTTCAATTCAATTCAATGTTTTCTTGTTAATTACAGCTAAAAAATTAATTAATCGTAATTAATCGCATTTCTATCTATCCGCAAAATTGTGTCATGTTTTTCTGTAAATGGTTGTTTGAATGGAAAGATACAGTGCCTTGCGAAAGTATTCGGCCCCCTTGAACCTTTCAACATTTTGCCATATTTCAGGCTTCAAACATAAAGATATAAAATTTTAATTTTTCGTCATGAATCAACAACCAGTGGGACACAATCGTGAAGTGGAATGAAATTTGTTGGATAATTTAAACTTCATTCAGAGCGATCATGGGCCTCTTGGCTGCATCTCTGATCAGTCTTCTCTTTGTTTGAGATGAAAGTTTGGAGGGACGGCCGGGTCTTGGTAGATTTGCAGTGGTCTGAAACTCCTTTCATTTCAATATAACTGCTTGCAGAGTGCTCCTTGAGATGTTTAAAGCTTGGGAAATCATTTTGTATCCAAATCCGGCTTTAAACTTCTCCACAACAGTATCTCGGACCTGCCTGGTGTGTTCCTTTGTCTTCATGGTTCTCTCTGCGCTTTAAACAGAACCCTGAGACTATCAAAGAGCAGGTGCATTTATACGGAGACTTGATTACACACAGGTGCATTCTATTTATCATCATCAGTCATTTAGGACAACATTGGATCATTCAAAGATCCTCACTGAACTTCTGGACTGAGTTTGCTGCACTGAAAGTAAAGGGGCCGAATAATATTGCACGCCCCATTTTTCAGTTTTTTATTTGTTAAAAAAGTTTAAATTATCCAATAAATTTCGTTCCACTTCACGTTTGTGTCCCACTTGTTGTTGATTCATGACAAAAAATTAAAATGTTATATCTTTGTTTGAAGACTGAAATGTGGCAAAATGTTGAAAGGTTCAAGGGGGCCGAATACTTTCGCAAGGCACTGTAAATGACAACATAGTGAACATATGTACTGTATTTGTTTTTAATAACAACAATAAAATGGAATTAACATTATTAACATTCTGTCTTTCTGTAGAAGACAGTATATTCTCTAAGTTGTATTAAAAGTTAATTAAAATTTGAGCTCATTGATTCAGCTTGTGTATGAAATCAGGCCCTAAAAAGTGCTGAGTAGAAACTTTGCGTGATGCTGGTTCTCCTCCAACGAAGAGCAGCGCTAAACAGGCTAAACAGAAAGTGTCTATACCTCCTCTGGCTGTAACTGCAGACACAGAAACACATCCCAAACGACGCAACAGTGAGGAAGAGAAGAGGGAACTAAAGCAATAAAATGATCAAAGAAGAAATCAAGCCCTGGTGAATATACGTAGCGTTAGCTCACATCTTATCCTCTGGAGACCTGCGGGTGCGGACCGCCTCGGACATTTGGACGCAAAACTAGCATCAATCTTTGTATATTTTGTCAGCAGTATGTTGCTTTTGTACCAATCACAATCATCAGTGATTGAAGTTGTGCTAATGCTAACTAATGTCTATCAGATTGCTACTAAAACTACATGGCTCGTGGAAGGAGAGCGTAAGGGAGAGGAGGAGAGGAGGGGGGTTCCTTTCTATGAGAAGCCTGTGGCCGGTGTTATTATGGGATGCATGGGCGGGTCATTCGGTACATGCGTCAATGCGTTAAAAAATGTAACACGATTAATGAAAAAAATTGATTAAAGTGCGTTAACGATATAATCTTGACAGGCCTAAAAAAAACACTTGGAGCCATCGGTCCATAAGGGACAGATGACCAATGCCCATAAATGTTGATAAATAAACACCAATTACAGGTGAACGAATTAGGAAATTAGGGAATGATTTTACTCAAATTATAACCTTTAGGCCTCGTGGGTTCAATTCCCACCTCGACACCTTCTCCACTGATGACTGCTGTCGTTGTGTCCTTGGGCAAGACACTTAACCCCACTTTGCCCAAAGCCCCCACTGAAAGATCAAGGCTATGCTCACACTCAGAGAGCAGCCGTCCTCCTGTGGACTCACCACCTGCAGAGGGTCAGTGAGGGGCTTGTGCTCTGTGACTTGGGTGGCATCTCTGACTGCCGCCCCCCCCGACCCAGAAATGGATTAAGGGGTAGAAAATGGATGGATACTTACTTACTTACTTACATTCTCTCTGGTCTTTCTTGGTCCAAACCCCAGGTCCTGACTACATCCGGCAGAAGTACAACGAGCCCGTGGAGGTGAAGGAGGTGTTGGAGGAGCAGAAGGAGAAGTCCCCCTCTGGAAGCCCTCACTTCTACAGGAAAGGCACCACACCCAACACCTCCCCCACCCAAAGTCCTACCACCAGCCCGCCACCCTCCCCCCCACCCCCTCCACCCCCTCCACCCCCACCAAAGAAGACTCTCACGCCCACGCCTGCCCCATCCAAGCCCACAGCCAAGGAGCACAAAGCGGCCACTCCTGAGGCCGTCACAGCAGGTAAGCGGAGGGCGTGGCAGGCTTTAACACCAAGACTCCCAAAATTCTAAACTCTCAGAGCGGTCATTTTGATTAAAACCAATGGAATTCTGTGTAATTTCCTAAAATATGTTACGGTCTTTTACTTGTGTGCTAAAACTGGTCAATATAACCTGAAATACAGCAAAAACAGTTTGTTTTTGTAACAGCTGTTTTTGCTGTAACAGCATTTGATTTGATCAAATGCTATCGACTGCAAGTAAGCAGTGTCTTGCAACGTTTTTTTTTTACTTTTTATTTATTTTTTTGTGACATTGAAATTTTTTTATATATAGATTCAGAAAAAGTCACAAAGTTATGAAGACCTAAAATGTACATACACTGAGTAATTACACTTCTAAAACTAAAATGCCGTCAAATGGACTGTTCTGGGACCACCTGATCTGAGTGTAAAAAGTCCATTATGTCTTTTACGTTTAAGGCTTAGAAGGTTCTATACATTTCAAAGCTGGCTGTGGTTGCAATAAGTTTGTTTTTTGTTGTGCTGTGCTTATGTCTCTGTCAAAAACCAGTTATTATAATAGATTCATGGAAAGCCATATATTGTTACCTGGTTTTTACAAGAACGTGGTGGAGGAGTTTGTATCGAACTGTGTGTTTAGCATCAGGTGGTCTTTCATAGTGGATTTGTTAGGTGATAACTTTTAGGGCCGTTTCATGGGCTCGACTCTCCCCGGTTCGCAGGCGTTTCCACCGGCTCGCTTTAGCCGCTACCCAGTACTTTTTTAGCAACAGCTTGGCCTAGGGATGTAAATCGGTGACCGTATAACCGGTGGTTGACCGTCACAGGGTTAACCGGTCAAAGCTGTCGGTTACAAAAGAGAAAAAGGGGAGAGGGGACGTCTCTTAATAACGCTATTTTAAGCCCTATTCGCACGATGTGACGAGCAGGTCCTATCTATCTATGTGCGCCAATGTAACTGTAAACTCTGGGCCGACTCTTATGGGGCTTTCACACCGCCAACGCTGAAACGCTGAAGCCCCGCTCACCAGACACGCATTCTCTAGTTTTCAGACGCAGAGGACTTCACACCAGAACGTCCTGACGCGAGCCGGAAGTACCGGAAGTAGCCGGCCGGCTCTGATGCTAACAGAGCTATGCTAGCGGCTTCTTGTGTACAGATCTTCTTCAATATGCAACTTTGCAGCGTGTCTTTGCTCACAGACATTCCACGAGCTTTATACAACAGTAGTTTGTGTTCACGGAGGTGCGCCATACGTTTTTTCATATTATTAAACGGTATTTCCGCATCGGCAAACACACTCGAAGCAGTTGCATAAGGTCACGGAGCATGACAACTCATATTTTCACAAGCACAGAGTCCCCCATTGTCAACCCTGGTTTGAGTTCTGGTGAAGTCTGGTGTGGGTCCTGTTTTGGCTGTTTATGAGTATTTTCAGTCTGCTTGCTCAGTCCGCTAATGTCCCCGTGACCACTTTGCGGCTCTCTGATTGGTTGTCACACGAACGTCCCAAGGAACGGATGAGCAGAATCCATCTCCTGTGGGCGTCGATTTTTCGCTCCTGCTCCTCCCCTTTCACTTTCCCGCCAAGTCCGTGCGTCATTATTGAACAGTCCATTCGTGCGTGCCGAGAGGTCCGTGCGTTGTGACGGTCGAACGCGCGTCACCATAGACTTTGCATTGAAACCCGACGCAACGCATGATCTGATCTGAAAGCACCATTACGCCGCACGCGCCACATATGCACGCACACATGCACACGCACATGCGCGTGCACACACACACACACACACACACTTTCCCCCCCTCCATTGATACGTAACATCCACACGCATCATCTCTCCCCTCTGTTACCGCCTGCTAGTTGCACACTGGTGCGGGTCAGAACTACATTGGAGCTTATATTTACACACACATACATAGATGTATTGTACACACACACATACATATACACACACACAGACATATACACACATACATACATGTATTGTACACACACACATACCGGTCTGTCGCGCTCCTCTGTGTTACGGAGCCCAAAGGATCCTCGCAAATACGCCACAGTCAAACCACATGGACCATGTTTGTGCTGCTGGTCCTTGGCATCAGCTCCACACTGATCACTTTTAAACTTTAGCGGAGACCTGCGAGACGCGTCACTCGCTGCTCTGACCATGTGAACGAGCCGTCTTTTGCTTAAAAATGCTTTAACCCGCAGCTCAGAAGAATGGGAAGATTAAAAAAGCAGTTCTCTGTGCGCAAAGGTGCCGAAGCTGTTGCGGGTTTGGGCGCCGCTGTCTCGCCTCTGACCCAGTAGAACGCTCAGCTGCCTTATGGAAAGTATGCGGCTCAAAATGGCTGTTATTTCAACGAACGTGGACTATTTTAAACTACGCGGTTAACCGGTTTCAACCGGTTAATGAGGCTCGGTGGTCGGTCATGAAAATTCATAGTTTTTTACATCCCTAGCTTGGCCCTGGCCAAGTAGTAACCAAAGCAATTTGACATCAGCGTACATCAATTGTGATTGGTGAGAGACGCTGTCAATCACTTTTCAGCTGCTGCAAAAAACTTTTAACAACAAGTTGCATAAAGTTTCCTGCTGAAAACAACGAAATGTCCGTACTGAAAAACAATTCCTTGGTGGCCTCTGTGTCATCCTTAGATCCGCTTTTCAGACATAAAAGTGAAAAAGAGAAGCTACGCCAATCAGCTCTCAGCCCCAAGCCCAGTTTTATATTTGCATAAATGACAATAGAAAACTACTATAGCTGTGAACAGTACAGGGGATAAATGTGCAATTCTCTTTCTGACATCTTTCCCTTGATGCAGGTATCACGAAGGCCGCGTCCAAAGTCTCCTTGAAACAGGAAGTGAAGCCCGCTGAACCCCTCCCCATCAAGCCCCTGCCCCCCGCCTCCTCCTCGGCGTCCAACCCCAGTAACGGGCAGATCCACTCGCAGTTCCACAGTTACTACGTGAAGGCCGAGGTCAAAGCCCCACCGCCCGAGGAGCTGGAGGGCCTGGAGGACGACTTCCACCCCTCCAGCCTCGCACGCATACCCTCTCCCTCCAAGACGTATGGACCTGCCAAGGCCCCAGTCGCCCCCAGCCCGTCCCCAGGACCCCCCAATGACCCCCCCAAACCTGTGGATGCCAAGCCCAAGAGACAGGAGTCTACCAAACCAAAAAGCCTGGCGGAAACCAAGAAAGCCAGCATGGAAATCGTGCAAGACATAATTGAGGAGGAGACGGTGAGGTTATGCGCACAGACGTAATCTTGTCTTTCTGACCTCTAAGCCAATGTTCCCCCATTTATTACAGCAGTTTCGCAAGTTGCAGCTACATGTTTTAAATATAGGGACAGTACTTTAACACGTTAATTGAGATTAATTAATTACACAAAACAAATGCGTTTTTTTTAATGCAGGTCAATGCATTTTTACCGTTGTGTTTGCATATCAGCGCAGCACATGGAGTATCACCTCATTGCTAAACATAGAGCAGCTAGCATGGACGTTAGCCCGAGTATAAAGACCCCAAGCCCCGGTGATCCAAGATGGCGGCCTATTCCAATCAATGGCTTGCAAGCCCCGGCGATCCAAGATGGCGCCCTATTCAAATGAATGGTTGTGCTCAGTGGCGCTTTGTGACGGCATGGGGGCTGAAAGATTAGCGGAAGTCGCCTGAAACTCTCAAAGATCTATGGGAAACTCGCCTGTATTTGGGCATCGTCTGGTCCTCCCGGTTCTGCGCAGTGGATGATCGACCCATAATGCGTTGCGCCAAACACGCGTGTGTGGGTCTCACACCGGGTCTCACGCACGTGCAGAGAGGGGCTCGGTTGCGCTCTGACCAATCAGAGCAGTTCATCAGAGCGGGAGTTAGGGCGAGAGCCAGAGGAGCAGAGTTTGTGGCACTAAAGTGTGGATTTAAACAAAACCAAAGGATTTAAGAAGAAAAAAAGTTCAGGATGACAAGGGACACTAAAATCCCCACAAAATCCGATCTTTATTAAAGCTGCAGGTTCTCTGTCAGCTGAGGTTGAGCTGTTTTAATATGCATTGAGTTCTATGGGGAAAATTTCTGGGTAGCCCACGTGAATTTAGTCTGGTTCAGTCTGCAGTACCGCGAGAATCCCCTGAGCACGTGAGTTATTCAGCTACAAGCTAGTAATACCCTATCCAGTTAATATAATACATCCATGATGGCTTGTGCTCAGTGGCATTCCTCTGGTTCTCCCGGGTCTGCGTGTTGGACAAGCTCCAAGCTCCCATGATGCTTTGCGCCAAATACTAACGAGCACACGTGTGTGGCTCTCATGCACGTGTATAGAAGGACATGGGAGCTAGAGCGGGCTCACTGGATTGCCCTCAACTGTAGACTACTGTGAGAGGTGGAAAATAAGGACCTGGCACCACGTGATCAGTTTTGTCTGAGTTTAGATGGAAAGTTCTTTTGCATCCACTCACATATTTGAAGGATTGGTGCTCATTTGAAAGCCCAGTGAGCGCCCAAAACCCAGATTTGTATGTGAACTGGATTGAGTTTAAGCCAGAATTTAAATTCAAACATTTTCAGAATTTTGGAATGCCTTTCACTGAACCCACCTTTGCTTTGTTTCTCTTCCAGGGTCCGAACTCCATCCTGGTGGCTCTTGTGATGCTTATCAATGTTGGTCTAGCAATTATTTTTGTCCATTTTCTCACCTGACCAAATCTGATCTCAGGTACTTTGTCGTGTGGATTTGTGTGGCATGCCTGTGTGGTTACATGCATGTTCCATATATGTGGCCATACCTGCTCATCAAAACCGGATCACGGAATCTAAGCAGCACAGGGCCTGTCAGTACTTGGATGGGAGACCGTTGTAATAGGGCTGTTGTGTTCTTAGGTAAGACACTTCACCCACATTACTTATTACAGTGTACGAGTGAGTGATAATTGGTCGGACGCTTGACCGTAGGTGACTGTGATTGGAGGTGAGTATGCATTAAATTACTTTTTGATTTACTTTTCTCGAATGTGTATGTTCCATGAGTTGCATGCATGACGTTTTCATAAATAACAAGCAGATTATCCAATGGAACTAATTTCAAATAAAATTATTTGCAAATTATGGTGGAAATATAGTATTAAGTCAACAACAAAAGTGCATCTTAATACTCATATTAAATACGTTTTGTTGGCAATGACAGAGGTCAAACAAAAAACTAAGACAGCCTCACAAATTGTAAATTTCTCCTTTGTGAGATAAATAAAGTATATCTTATCTTAAAAAAAACAAAAAACTCAGATCTTATCCACTTCCTGGGTCCCGCCAATGAAGAGGCCGTCAACAACCCCAATGACTTCAGCGAGGGAAATGAAAGATCTTCAGTCTCTGCCTCTACAAAGGATGACTTGACAGGGAATGGAACCTGAAACGATTCCTCATTCCTTCATTTATTGTCTTCCCTTTTATTAGTAAATTTCTGGGCCGGGGGGTTTGGGGGGGGTGGTAATGAGAGCTGCCACCCAGTGCTCATAGCACCAGTCCATTGCCGATCCTCCTGCAGGGGGTGGGTCCTCGGGAAGATGGCTACTGCTCCATCAGTGACAATTCACTGTCAATATTCCTTCCACAGCCGAACGATATTCCCAGTCAAAGTCAGGAGTTTTCGACCCGTACTATAAACAGTGTTGGCAAAGTATTGGTCTGGACAGTTAGCCAGAATATCTTTGAGGCCGACCGATAGTCCTGCTTCATGGCCTCTCTGAACTCCTTCCAGTCCCAGGTTTTTGCCTCTGAAACGCATGGTCTGATGGTACTGGGCAGCTCCTTCAGGACTCCATGATCCGCCTTGGCTGGATTCGGACTCCAGCTTGAGCCTGACAAACGGAATGCGATTTCCCACTTCTACCACCAAATGAAGGTGTTTTATTACTGAGAGCCTTTCCTTATCCATTGCATATGTATCTTCTCACATTCAAAATACATAATTATTTCCAAGGTCTTGTTTAAAGGACAGACATCTTGCGTACGGCCATGATGCATGACGTTTACTTTTCCAAGCTTTGTATTGTGCTTTCTCATGTTGTATCTTCCATAACTAACCATGACTCTGGCCCACAGTGGAGTGTGCTACCGCGCTGCAGATCGGGCCTATCCGAGCCGAGAAGGGCCAGTCTGGCAGGCACTAGTGTCATGGCAGAGTGAAAGTAGAAGGACTGTGAGTGAGAAGAAACCCAGAGGAATGTTGGACTGAGGACAAAGAGCGAGAGCGCGAGAGACGGAAGCTCCACCGCCCCGTACCCCTGTCACCCGGAAGGACTGTGAACTTTCTGAAACCCCACCCGAACACTGAACTGCTCCCAACACGCTGGAGAAGAGCCGACATCACCTAAGCCTATAATACTGTGTGTGTGTGCGCGTGCATGTGTGTGTGTGTGTGCGTGTGCTAGGGCTGCAGCAACCCACAATCGCTCTCTTACGTAGTTGAGAAAAATTTGTTTTATCCCATTGCAGATATGTTGTAAAGAAATCGATTGTTGAGATAATCTTTACTTATACACACTTACACATATTTCGCAAGAATGGAAAAAATGAACTTTTTATGGCACTAAAAAGATTTAATATATTTTCAACCGGAGCTTGCAAATTTGCTCTTGGAGCTTACTAATGCCTTATTACATCACAATGTTTTCCCCTAAAACGTCTCCAACATTTCAAACTGGGCCTGTTTGGAGCACAAACTTTGCTGGACTCTAATTGCTCTAATTATAAGTGGGAACTATCTCTGCAGAGATAAAACTCTGAAGTCTGGCGATATGTGGTGATATAAAAGGGGGTACAGCTTGTATGTGGCATACGGCGTCAAGTGAAAAGTGCTTAAGGAATAAAATCTGTTATTATTATTATATCTATTTGACTATTCTTTTTCCCCGTTCACAGGTGTCACTCGAAATGAAATACATATATCGCTCCAGCCAGAACCTATGTACAATACCTTTCACTTTTTAGTGATTTTTTTGCAGGTTGTAAAAAATTGAATTAGAGTAATGTCACATCAGTGTTGTAAGGGGCTGAACCTTTTTTTTCTTTTTCTTCAGAGAGTGTATTATCAACAGAATTTTGTAACCAAAAAAGTATAGGTAAAAGTTGAACTTTTCTTGAAGTCCTCCTAGAGGAGACGGCAGGAGATCAGAAAAGTAAGGAAAGGAGGTCCAGGTGCAGGTTCCTATGCTAAAGGGCTAACGAAGGAACATCCCCAGGTTCCTATGCTAAAGGGCTAACGAAGGAAGCCTAGAGGTTTCTTTTCCCTGATGTCCATTTCGGATCTTTCGTGTCATGCGGCCAGAACATTGGCCACTGGATTGAAAAAGGAAAGGAGGGTGTGACAGTTTGGAATGAGTTTGAAAGATTTAAAACGTCCTCTCCAATGTAAAATCAGGTGTTCTAACTTGAAGAGATCATTCACTGTTTTGTGCTTCACTGCCTGAGAACACAGAGCTGGCTGATTGCTGGCTGAGTTTATCGGAGCTTTTCACATCTTTAAGAGATCCAAGTGATGATTGTACAAAACAATCTTTGCTGCAAATACCTTTAAGACATTAAGACACTTAACACCGGGCACAAGTCATGTTGAGAGACATGTTATTGCATTGTGGTCTATCCTCTCCAAACTTGACACTCTTGTAGTTGATTAGGGAATATGCATGAATAATAATTAAGAGTTCTATTGTTTTGCATAAATTGCGCAGCCCTAGTGAGAGAATGGGTGAAACTCCAAATAGTAGAATATTTCAAAAGTCACTTTACTTCTGTAATTAAACTTATGTGAAACGAATTAATGGCCGACTCATTACAGCAGTGAGAAATATCAAGCCTTTATTTGTTATAACAATGAACTCCATATAAAACATCACAGAAATAATACGTTTTCCCAATTGAAATTCCTCAAAATGATGACAAAAGCTCGACATTTGTCACTGTGCATTAATGAGTCTTTTATCAATTACTGGTTTCACATTGTAAGTTGTTTATCCTAATTTTGCGAGTTTCACCTGCACGCTAAGAAAGAAAGTGTGGACTTTCATTGATAAAGTTAAGTAAATAATAAGCAACTGTTTCCACATAATTGAGAAAATCTGAACTTGCTTGATTTCAAACACTTTATTTCTCAGCGTGTGAGTGTGTGTGAGCGTCTCTGTGCGTCTGTGTGAGAATGGTACTGTCCAGTCTTCAAATGCTAATAATAAACCAGTTTGTGCCCTGTCCAGTTTGACTTTTCTTAAGGAACATTTGTTTGTAAAATGTCTGTACATGTTTACATATATTCTCATGTAAGATTGGTTTGGCCCAAATACAGACAGTTTTGGGTTAGCAACTGGCTCCCATAGTGTATTTTAGGAGTGAAGTGACCGAGCACTGACGTTATCATAATGTTAAGACGTGTTCCCAACGCATTTACGCAATTGGCGGTAGGACGCGCGTTTACTAAAATTCAGCCTCATTAGTTTAGAGAATCTACTAATGAAAGCCACCAACTTGGGGCGCCTGTAAAGTTCCAATCTCTCGTTCTGTCCTAAGTCACCTCACCCACATTAGAATGAGAGTCTGGTGTGTGTGTGAATGGTTGTTGGTGGGAGGGGACGAATGCACAGACTGGTTGCCCCACTTCTGTCAGTGTGTCCCAGGGCAGCTATGGCTGTGTTTGAGTTTACACCTCATGTCCTTCAGTTCTTAAGAGAAATACACTGTGACTGGTTCATTTCTATTTAATTAGGACTATAGCAATTATTTGCTGATACGGATGTACAGACTGATAGAAGCATGACTGTCAATCTGGAGGCTCTACCAAACCCCTGACCAGCAGCAACCACTCAAGCAGCGCATTCAAACCTGCTGTGCATGTTCCTTCCATAGGAAATCTGCACAGACACAGGAAGAACATGCAAACTCCGCTCATCTGAAATGGATGATAATTGGGAGTATTTCTGGGGCAACCTTCTGCTCGTTTCTGTGCTGGTATGTGCAAAAACTGCAATTGCGCACACACCAAGCTTTAAGTGTGTGCATACAGAGAGTGGGTGAGTCTCAGGCTGATGGAAGGCGGCAGCTGTGGCCCGTTTTACAGACTGACGTGGTGTTGGGTGAGAAGGGCCAGGGCAGGAATGTGAGCTGGGTCACTGCCAAAACACTCTGCCTGTCTGCTGTCTGAACTCACACTTAGTATTATGCAAAACTTGGATTTTCCCCACGTTACATTTTTATCCCTCTGTGGGTTTGTGTGAATTGTGTCATTGTTAGTTCCCACCCACTCTGAAGTTCTGAAGTAAATTCATTGCAGTAGTTTGACTTCTATCCTGAGAGAAAATTAGAGCACAATATTTGTCAAAATGTGTTAAGAAACATACTGTGAACAAACATGTAGGCCTTGGTCATTATTCACCAATGATCTGATGCTTTCAAACGTGTATGTTACATAATAAGATACTCTCGAGATCTGTCTCCGTCCTGCAAAGTGCTCGCAGGTGGTCCTCGTCATGCGGCTTGACTCCTGGGTCTACAGCCTCAGTCATGGATCTACAACCTCAGTCCTGGATCTACAGCCACAGTCCTGGATCTACAGCCTCAGTCCTGGATCTACAGCCTCAGTCCTGGATCTACAGCCACAGTCCTGGATCTACAGCCTCAGTCCTGGATCTACAGCCTCAGTCCTGGATCTACAG